TTCATGCGAACGAAAGAAGAAGAAGAAGAAGAAGAAGTTCAAGCTAAATGACTTTCACTTTCCCATATCTTCTTATATCATTCTCTCTTCAAATCACAACTAAACGTTAACAACATTATAACTGCATCATGTTAATACACATGGCGTTATTATTCCCTAGCAGCGGTAACGCTGCTGTTCAATATGATACTTCACACGTCATGCTTATCTGTTATCATGACCATCACCATCATGTGCTGTGCCGGTCTTCCAGTAGTTATTATATCTTCTAACAGAAGCCTACATTCTTCATGACAATCATGACACCCATAACTATACATACACAATTATACATCTTATGACATCAGTGCCCGTTGCTTTCCCCCTGTATCACAATCAAAACATCGCAGACACAGTCTGGCCGTTAGAAAGGGTCATTCTAGGGCCACCTGTTCATTCACCAAACCACTCTCTCTCTACCTGTGAAATACGATATTGGGCCTCTGACCTAAATAAGAGGGCAGCCCCCGTATGCTGCATGCTCAGAACGTTTCTCGTTGTTTTATAACTTTCCTTTCCTCCAATGTTCCAAGATGATGTCTGTCCCAGAAATCATTATAATATACAAATGGATACTCATACGTTGCATTAATACACTTGGATCCGTCAACATGACATCTGCTATGTCTCATGTGTCCAGTTAAACGACTCGCAAGATCCAGTTAAAACATATCAGAGCAATCATCATCATCACGTGTCCTACTAATAACCCAACATTACCTTACCTTATCTAATTACTTAACATGAACACAGTACTACTTACATAACATGAAGCAATATTTCGTACATTATCTGGCAAGTCACACAACAGAAGTATGGACTTAGCTCCATCGTAGCGACATAATCCGAATGCCCACAGCATCCTTCATTGGCGGAGATCTCAGCGCAAGTGTCTCTGTCAGGGCTCACAGTAGTGTATATACACCTGACGCTACCCCTCTCCTTTGTACCTCAGTTCATGAACCTGTGTCTTCTTAGGTCCATGAACCTTTCTCTATTCCGCCAAAGATGGTATTCCAAGCCACTTTGCATAATTGGATGGAAAATCCCCAGGAAATCTTGTGTCGTTGCCTTTGTTCGTTGTCTTGCCTCTGGAGTATATTGGCCTACAAAGTTCATGGCCTGGCTTGGCATGCACCCACGTCTTTGTCGACTCTTGAGTCAATGCCCTCAGGGTTGTTAGACTATGTAGCGACATTCTTTATCTCAAGCGACCCTATAACTCCTTATTCCTCCGTGTGTTTCTTTCCCTCTATTTCCTTCTTGTAATAAACGTGACTGTAACCAGTACTGTCACACATGTCCAAACCATCGTAACTGTGACTGATCTACTCGGGTTAGTAAGAGCTGGGTATTAAGATCTTGACGTATTGTCTGATTGCGGACTTTGTCCCTTCTTGTCACTTGGACCCCCTTTCTCAGGTATCTCATTTCCGAGGCCTGCAGATGGCTTCTGTGAGCTGTTGTCATTGCCCATGACTTCTGTGAACTAAGTTGCAATTATTAATGTGGGCTCCTCGCGTTGGTTCTGGGCCTCACTATGGGAATATAATGAACAGAATCGCTGTCCCATAACAAACATGACGTAACAGTCGACTACTTAGAGGCATTTACTTTAAAGTCGGAGCGCATTTGTCTAAGAGGGGAGAAACCATTATTATGTAAAAATATATTTAAAAAAATATAAAGAAGCCAGATATGTAAGACGGATGTGCAAAACTCAAGTTCTGAAACAAGATCCCAGAAGTGGACGAACAACCAGAACATTCCGTAGGAGTTTACAGCTGGTGAACACAAAGAAGAAGAGGATTAAAGTGCACAACTTGTGTGTGGCAACAATAAACCTTACAGAAATGTAGAAAACTCAGAACCTTGGAGTATAAATCATGACAGATAAAACAGATGCAGAGAGGCAAGACTAACATAGACCATTTACAAGTCTCGGGGCAGTAGACTGAAAGGGACAAGAAAACTGAACCAAGAAACTTTCTGATAGACCTGGATGAGAAATTCTAGAATGGCTTGCTACCTAATGGTCCAAAACGGCTGGTATCCAATCGCATTAAAGAAGTCAAAGTAGAGACTACTCGATGACTAATCACCCGCGAAATGGTTCTTCAGTTTTCCCAGTCCGCATGTGTTCTTATGTGTTGGCCATGAATAGAGCTGTTGGTACGTTGTGTTGTGGCTTACAGCTAGGCTGTGATATCTGCATCTTTTGGCAAAAACAACCGATTTAAGCAAAGCCTTTATTTGCCACATTTTACCTCAAGAAGCAATGTGTTTATTCCGCCCCCCGCCTCCCTTCCTCCCCCTCCCCCAATACTAAATAGGGCTAAAGCCCACACTGAGGTGGGAAGGGTGGTGTGTTTACAAGGTTTGAAGAACACTATTCTAGAAAGACCAGTTTTACTATATAATTTCTAAGTCAAAACTATATGGTACTGTGAGAGTTAAAACTTAAGAATATAATTACCTAGGCAGTGTATTCACTGCAGATGAAGAATTAAACAGATTAATAGAAAACAAAATACAAAATGCCAACAACATATATTAACAAACAGGGACTATTTTGAGACATCAAAATATCAACATCCACATAAAAAAAAAGCAGCTAATAAAAACTACAGCATCTAAGATTAGATGTATAAGACATTCGGAGGGGAAACAAGAAGAACAAGCAAAGACATGGTCACCAATAAAAAAAAAAAAAACAAGAACAAAGGTAGGCGTAGTGTCGGTAAATGATTTCATAGAACCTCGAAGAATCAAATGGTTTGGCCAAGTCAACAGCTAGAATATACTACATGAGAAGAACAGGTACAAGTCAAGAGGACGACCAAGAAAAAAAATGAGATAATAATTTTAGTTGCTAGAGGCGCCAATGCCAACAGTCGCCACCAGAAATAGTTTGTCGTTGAATGGAGTAGTCGGGCACGGTAAGTTGGCTGATATACGTACGTAAAATTATTACATAAGGTATTTCACCATCTCACATTTAAACTGGCCACAGGCCATATTAACTATCACGACACAGTCGCTGCACATATGAAAGGCATTGACAGGAAAAACACACAACACAGGGCTGCAAGAAAGAAAAAAAGTGTCTCTAAATAATGGTAAATAGTTTATTTCTAATTACCAGGTATTTGCACTTGCCTAAGCAATATTTGAATATATTCTTCTAAGTACATAGTTACTTGTTATAAAGATATAGTTATAAATTTCACAAGTTTGTGGAATTTAGTGGCAAAATCACAGAAAGCCTCGTTTCAAATTATGTCAAAAGCAAAAGATCTCTTCCGTTTGTGTTTAAACTGAACCTGGAACAGACGTGGATGTCCTTGACATCCTCGTGAAAAGGTTGCTGAGGTCTTCGTCTTCGCCAGGGCTACCGAACTGAAATAACACAAATGGTATATCATGTTAAAAGTAGGCTAGCACTCTCTTTATCTTAACTTTCTTTCCGTCTGTCTTGCTTACTTACTTACTTTCTTTATTTGTTTTTATTTTCTTTCTTTGTTTCTCTCTTTCTGTATTTCTTCTTTCTTATTTTGTTACTTTCTTTCTTTCTTATTTGATTTCACTCTTTCTCTCTTTCGTTGGTTTGTTCTCCCCTTTCCTGCTCTTTCTTTTTTATCTGTATCCTGCTATTACTTTCTCTCTCTCTCTCTCTCTATATATATATATATATATATATATATATATACACACACACACACACATACACTAAAACTCACAAACCTTTTTTGCATTTAGTGAGTTTACTAACTGATGTTCGACCCCACAACGAGTGATAAACACCCGGTGACACAAAGTTCCAGCATTCCGATAAGAATCACTGTGAGCAGTTCCCAGAAACCCCGTTCAGCCTTAGGTAATATTTAAGGCTTCCAGTGACAGTTAGTCTGGCGTAATAAAAAAAAAAACAAATGATGGCGTCCCACAATTACCTATTTTGTGTGTTCATTAAAAACGAACTGTTAACTCCTCCCAAACCGTGACCAATCCACAGGTTTCAGTTTTAACTGCCATTATGTCTACAATGTTTAATTTAACAGTCACGTTAGTGGACAGGGTAATATGCATTTCTTGTATTTATTGGGATAATCAGTAAAAGTACACTTTCGCTGGAATTGCATCCTTCTGAATATTTACCTTTTTACATACATTACAATAATTTTATTTAAATTATAATTCTTTGTTATTGCTTTTACGGTCAGATTTGGGGGACTGACAGCAGTACCTCGGTTTAGGGGATTCTGCCTTGCCACTGAATGCCAAGTATTCTTCCTAGGTATCGCTAAGCTATTTAGCCGTTTCTCCTGGTGCGAAAAAAATTTAAACTAAATTTCATTGGCATAAAGTAGAGTGCTAAAAACACAAGCCTGATAGACAGTAGTTTTTGCTTTACACGCTAGCCTTCTGTTCCCTCAAACTCTTTTGTTAATCTGCTCACTGTTTCTGCTGCCATACCTATCTTGGTATTGATTTCTTTGTTCAGAGACAGCTTGGTAATCACAGTGTATTCCATAGAGATAAAAATAATCAACTGTCTCCAGCTCTTCACCATCAATAAAGACTGCAGGCCTGTCATTAACTATAAGTTTGTCTTCTTTTATTTGATTGTTAGTCGAAATTCAAGCATCAGAAAATACAGATGATAAACATTGCAGCACCTCAACTAGTAGCACAGTAAGTAAACAAAGATTTTCCACGCCTTCAGTGTAATTGGGCATATTGGGCTAAACTTATATTTTACATACTAATCGGCACTAGGTGTCTGATGTAGTCAGCATCGCACTGGCGGCCTTTACTTCCTAGGAATGCGCCTAGTACCCACTAAAGGCTAATTCGACCTGGGAGGCAAGGTCTCTCTCTTTTCTTTTTCCCCTCTTTTTTTCAAGTAAGGCTCCATTAGGACCCAATTCCCCTCTCCTCTTAAAATACCACCACAGAACCCGAGGGGAGAACCTCAACGTCTAAAAATGTTACCTGCAACATCTTGAATTCATCAGTTACCACGTTTGCTAAACATGTCGGTACCAGTCGTAGCCTGTGTTTGCCCAGGGCGTGTGTCTCGTAGGCTTGAAGCATCTGTCACAGCAAAATATTTCTTAAATGTATCAGATAATGAATATTAACACCAACAGACTTAATACCCTTAGCAGACAAAACAAAATTAGGAAAAGTTACACATTATAGTGGTTGGTGTGTTGGTTGGTTGGTTGGTTGGTTGGTTAGTTGCGTGGAAAAGTAAAAAGTATGTCGAGTTGGCGTTAGAAAGTGGCCGCCGTTGTTGTGTAACGGCTACCCACCTTCCCGTGGATCCGAAGCTTCTGGGTTCGGGTCCTGTCGGAGCCGGCATTTTTTTTTTAAAATAAATGACATTGGATGCTAGGTCGACCCAGCCTGAAATAGGTACTAGGTAAAGTATGTGAAAGTAAAGGCGACTACAGAAGGACTATAAAGTATTTATCTAGCTCTATATGCCAGATCCGCCTGGAGTCGAAAATGGTTCTTTTCATTTTACATTGCGAATGTGTAAGTTATTAAATTTAGCACACAGCCCAGTAACAACAAAAAGCTACTCGGGGGGCAGACAGCCCGGGATTTTACAATCTGCTAGCAGTCTTCCAAAAGCGTCACATGAAAGACATATACTGCAGCTCCAGCGACGATCCCCAAAGATATCAGTAAAAAATTTAGTTGTAGACCAAACATACAGTCCATGAAATGACCCTATGACCTTCAGAGCAGGCCTATATACTAATTATTTTGATATGTGAACCCAATAACATAATATACTTGGTATATAAAGTAAAAATGCCATGTGAAAGATGGTTTTTTGAAAGGGAAGAATGTAAAACATGATTGTGACTCAATTTGTAACTCTTTAAGAATAAAGTTCGTTTGTTGGTTCGTACGTTCATTAGTTCCAGACAAGTAGCATTTTCGCTTTGTCACGGAGAGCCGAAGTTTCTTCAGAATTCAGATTTCGGAAATGCGGTTTTATGTTAAGTGTTCGAAAGTGTAAGTAAGCAACGACCTCTAATACATCACCCATGGAGTGGCCAGTAACTTAATAGGAGTCTAGCTCAATAATTGACTGGTTTAGTTAGTTAGTAAGATGGTCAGTTAGTTAGTTAGTTAGTTCGTTAGTTAGTTAGTTAGTTAGTTAGTTAGTTAGTTAGTTAGTTAGTTAGTTAGTTAGTTAGTTAGTTAGTTAGTTAGTTAGTTAGTTAGTTAGTTAGTTAGTTAGTTAGTTAGTTAGTTAGTTAGTTAGTTAGTTAGTTAGTTAGTTAGTTAGTTAGTTAGTTAGTTAAGTTAGTTAGTTAGTTAGTTAGTTAGTTAGTTAGTTAGTTAGTTAGTTAGTTAGTTAGTTAGTTAGTTAGTTAGTTAGTTAGTAAGATGGTTAGTTAGTAAGATGGTTAGTTAGTTAGTTAGTTAGTTAGTTAGTTAGTTAGTTAGTTAGTTAGTTAGTTAGTTAGTTAGTTAGTTAGTTAGTTAGTTAGTTAGTTAGTTAGTTAGTTAGTTAGTTAGTTAGTTAGTTAGTTAGTTAGTTAGTTAGTTAGTTAGTTAGTTAGTTAGTTAGTTAGTTAGTTAGTTAGTTAGTTAGTTAGTAAGATGGTTAGTTAGTAAGATGGTTAGTTAGTTAGTTAGTTAGTTAGTTAGTTAGTTAGTTAGTTAGTTAGTTAGTTAGTTAGTTAGTTAGTTAGTTAGTTAGTTAGTTAGTTAGTTAGTTAGTTAGTTAGTTAGTTAGTTAGTTTCAGATAGTTAGTTAGTTAGTTAGTTAGTTAGTTAGTTAGTTAGTTAGTTAGTTAGTTAGTTAGTTAGTTAGTTAGTTAGTTAGTTAGTTAGTTAGTTAGTTAGTTAGTTAGTTAGTTAGTTAGTTAGTTAGTTAGTTAGTTAGTTAGTTAGTTAGTTAGTTAGTTAGTTAGTTAGTTAGTTAGTTAGTTAGTTAGTTAGTTAGTTAGTTAGTTAGTTAGTTAGTTAGATAGTTAGTTAGTTAGTTAGTTAGTTAGTTAGATAGTTAGTTAGTTAGTTAGTTAGTTAGTTAGTTAGTTAGTAAGATGGTTAGTTAGTAAGATGGTTAGTTAGTTAGTTAGTTAGTTAGTTAGTTAGTTAGTTAGTTAGTTAGTTAGTTAGTTAGTTAGTTAGTTAGTTAGTTAGTTAGTTAGTTAGTTAGTTAGTTAGTTAGTTAGTTAGTTAGTTAGTTAGTTAGTTAGTTAGTTAGTTAGTTAGTTAGTTAGTTAGTTAGTTAGTTAGTTAGATAGTTAGTTAGTCTTTCCTCTTCAGCCCAAGGCAGCGCATATGACAGAGATCATCGTTCTCCATGTCTAGCGGTTCGTTGCCACCAGATTTAAGTCTTGGATACTTATTGTTCCATATGTGAACCTTCCATGATGATGGTTCTACTTAAGTCTCTCTTGGTTTTTCCCGTTTTCTTTTCCCTTCCGATGACCATATGATGAAGACTTAAGTGGGGTTTTCGCAGAATATGGGATGTTTAATGGTATTTCAGTCACTAATTGGGCCTTTGGGAGAGTATATAAATTCCAGTGAATCGAGAGGATAAGAAGAATCACTGTCGGTGGATATTACATAAACTGAGAATACTTGAGAACAATATAATAAATATAAAACCAGAAGAGATCGAGTGAGAAACGACGTGATCACAAGAACTGTTGGAACAACACCAACCGTCAAATTTATTGAGAAACAGAGAATGAAACGGTTTGGCCATCTAATCAGAATGAATCCAACGATGCCAGCAGCAAGGGCGTACAACCTGAAAATCGAAACATCAAGCGACAGGAAAAGACCGAGAAGAAGATGGATTGAAGGCGTCACTGACACTTTGAGACTGCATAACATCACGGCACATCAAGCGACTGAGCGCGCCCTAGCTCGGCTACCGATCGGCTGCTGAACTGCGACGTCCTTGCGGCAAAAGCATATATTGAAAAAAAAAAAAGAAAAAAAAAGATATATATAATTAACATGTATTCGCATTGGAACCCACAGCGGTATAGAAATAAAGGCAGACTTAACGCCACCAGAAGACGGGAGCTAGAGAGTAAAGTTAAAAAGACGACGACATGGAGTAAGCAGCATGCAATAGCGAAGGATAGTAATACTTGGTGTGAGTTGGTTGCGGGCCTATGCTCAGTTGAAGGATAGAAGGCAGAAAAAGAAGAGAATTGGGAGGACAGAGAGAAACTGCGTGTGATAGTAAAGAATAGCTCTTGCTGGCTTGCAATGGCTGAGAACATTGCTCTGTTATGGGACAAAGAACAAAAGTCTAAGAACATATAATGTAATAGTCATACAAACCACTGAGATAAAATTGATTTTCTGCTTACTTTCTTTGGAAGACGGCTCTTATAATAAAACGAGCAGACTGACCTGTAACCATTTTTGTACTCACTTGCCACGCACATCTGTCCTTGGGCATGCCACCTGGTCCAGTTCCAAACCCTGGCACTAACACTTGTCTGATTTTGTTCACATCCGGCGTCCTGTTGTGTTTGCTGACTGGATGGATAATATAGGGTTAAAAACTGTCGTTGGGTCATCGAGTTATTGTTACATGTTTAAACTCATCTTTCCGTTTCTAACAACCAAATGTCATTGACCTTATGTTTTCATTTTTATGGTCACTCTAGCAGCCAGCATTAACTGGCGGTGCCTTATGAGATAAACTGCATGTGCAACGGCTGGTCTGTTGTAGCTTCTGCTTTCATGGATGTCGAACTGCATTTCTAGTGTTGGGCTACTTGCGATGGCACTACTGCCGGAAGCCTTATACATATAATGTGTATGTCGCCTTTCTGAGACAGCAATGTGTGTAAATTTTTCACAAGGATGATGGACACTGTGTGGTTTTTATTACCACAGGAACTGAGCAACTATTGCGTGACCTGTTTGCAATGGAGACGTAGTTACGGTTACCTGATTACTAGCTGCCAACGTTTGGAATAGCGTCTTTGTTGGATTGCCTAGTCTGCCCTTTGTTTTTAAGAAGCATTGCAGTTTAGTTTTGGAAAAGCCGGTAAATTTCGGAGTAAGTAAAAGTAAAAGACCCTTTTAGACGACTAGCACATCATACTTTTGTTGTTAAAATCATATTTTTGATTGACAAGCATGCCCGGCTCTTTAGCGTAGTTGGCTAAACCGGATTGCGCGGTGACCAGTTGACAAACTTTTTGTGGTCCGGGTTCACTCCCGGGGGCAGGCAGAAAAGCCACATTTCTCCCAGATTTACGGTATTTATCATAGAATCAAGGCCGACAGGTTGCGAAATCCTTAACACTGAGCCTAAGGGTTAACAGCTCATGGCTTCTGGATACTAAAACAAACAAACAAACAACATTGACAAGCCAATATTGTGTGGCCAATGTTGTCAACATCACGCTCCTCTACCTCCCAAGACATTGCCTAGTACCTGGGCTGGGTTGACTTGGCCGTCAAGTCAGTGACTTATTATACTGATCAGTAATTGTCGATGTACTCAATAATTTCAGCGCGCATATCTTCGGTGACTCATAACGAGGGGTTCGTCTTGTTGGATGCGACTACAAATATTAAGAAGAATGAAATCGGATGTGGAATTGTAGTAGTAATAGTAGCGGCAACAGTAGCAGCTGCAGCAGCAGAAGCAGTAGTAGTAGTAGTATTTGTTCTTGTTGTTATTGTTGTTGGAGCAACAGCAGCAGCAGCAACAGTAGTAGTAGTAGTAGTAGTAGTAGTAGTAGTAGTAGTAGTAGTAGTAGTAGTAGTAGTAGTAGTAGTAGTAGTAGTAGTAGTAGTAGTAGTAGTAGTAGTAGTAGTAGTAGTAGTATTTGATGTTGTTGGTGCTGAAGCAGCAGCAATAGAGGCAACAACAGTCAGCAGGAGAAGATTTCAAAATCTTGCTGTCAATGATAATGATTTACTTACTTGCTAAAATGACAGCTTTAAATGCCAAGTAAGCGTTTAGTGTGTTGGTGATGATGCCAATAGATCGCATGCTTGGAGCATAGATCAAAAACTTGACTGGAATACGTTCTTCTGCCTGCGGCCCGTCTTGAAGGTCATCTGTGTTTTCTTTTCCAACGGGTACTATCGCAGCCTGACCCTGGGACAGTGAATAAGTAAAGTAAAAGACAATTTTCCACGCTTTTAACGGTAATGGACACACACAGCTGAGACATATTTTACAGACCAGTCAGCATATGATGGGTAATGTGGTTATCATTACGCCGGTCGCCTTTACTTTCCATGGCTTTTCTCGGGGTGGGATGGGAGGTGGAGGGGTTGCGTGGTCTCGAGGTATGCTGTCCGCCATGAGTGCTAGAGGTTTCTTGTTTAAGCCCCGGTAACAGCTTGCATTTTTCCACGTCGACCTCTAGTAATTTCCCTTACTCTCTGGGTAGTAAGATTGGACGCCCTTGTGTATTGCTGCGCACTGTAAAATCCATTGGCAGTTGGAAATCGAAAAGAGTAGCTTAACTGCGCTGATCGGGGCAAAATTTTGAATTAAAAATCTACCCAAAGTATTTCAGGATCCTCGCCGGTGCTGCAGAGTTTGTGCACTGCGCTGAGATTCGTCGAACTCAGACTTGAGTTGGAAGAAGAGCGGAGCACATATGGGTTACTACCCTTGTGCCATGATGTTGATCCTTTGTATAAACAATAAACAATCAAGGTCATTTTTGAAGGCAACAACAAAGATCAACTCCTTCAGGGTCTGAACCAACAACCGGACAGTTAATAAAAATCCAACAAAAAAGAAATGTTCTTGGGGCCTCAGATGTGTGGTTTTACAGAACAAGTGTAATTAAACTTGATTACTCGATCAGAGAAACTGACAAGTTTGTCCTTCAGTAAGTGGGACAGGTCACTCATGTCAGCTTTGAAAGGGATATCTACGTCCAGGTGAATGTGACACTGCGTGTGGAAACGTTGATCTGACATAATGGCTCAGCACACATGCTTCAGCACCGAAAGGAAGTGGCCAGCAGGTGCCACGGAGGTGGCTATTCAGCAGGTAATTCGGATAATAATGCTCGCTCAGGTGATGTGATTATCCATACAGATGGTTCAGTGTCAAGAGGCAAAAGAAGTGCCTGGACAAAAGCTAATGGTCGTTTGATGCAGCGAGGCTGAGCATATGATACACCCAGCTTAAGAATGGAGGTGGAGGCGGTCAGTGCAGCTTTCCGATGGCTTGAAAACACGATAAATTTACACATCCTGATTGTAAGTGACTCAGAAAGCATGCTGAGGAAGCTGAAGACAGGCATGCTTTGTACAGTGGAATGTCTCATTCTACACGCCGTGTAGAATACTGATACATGACAAGGCAGAAGTGGTTGAGGCCTTATGGGAGCACGTGCACAATTTGAAACATGAAAACTGATCAGTTCTGGTGAGAGTGAAGCAGCGGGGAGTGACGAGGGGATCTGGGCAATAACTGGCGCTCAGAGGAAAGGCAAGACAGACATCTAATCTGACTGCTACTGTCACCACTAGTAGTGGTACTCTACACTGGCTGCTGAAATGGGGACGGGTCGTTTATAGGAATGCCCCAGGTGCTCTGATATCGGTTCTTTGTTAACTTACCTCACCTCATGTCTATTATTGTCACACACTCAAAACCAACTTCTTTTATTATTATAATAATTAGTACCAATAGATGTAGTAGTAGTAGTAGTAGTAGTAGTAGTAGTAGTAGTAGTAGTAGTAGTAGTAGTAGTAGTAGTAGTAGTAGTAGTAGTAGTAGTAGTAGTAGTAGTAGTAGTAGTAGTAGTAGTAGTAGTAGTAGTGATAGTAGTAGTAGTAGTAGTAGTAGTAGTAGTAGTAGTAGTAGTAGTAGTAGTAGTAGTAGTAGTAGTAGTAGTAGTAGGAGTAGTAGTAGTAGTGATTTTTTAATACTACTTCCACTACTTGAGTTTACTATTACTTTTTCTACTACTAATAGTAATAATACGCGCAAGAACCACACGATAAAAGAGGGGAGGGACATAAGATATCTTGAGCCCCCCCCCCCCTCTCTCTCTCTTCACCCCCCCCCCCCCCCCTAATATGCACAGAAGTCCTATGCTGACGTTTTTTTTTTTTTTTTATTACGCATATTTTATCACATTATTATATTTATTTTTTATTAAGTACATTGTTGTAATTATTTTTGTTATTGTTACATCATGATTCAAACATGAAGCTTATGCCACCTAATCCCCCCACCCCCTCCCGCATATTCTCTTTGTTTCGGCAGGCCTGTCTTACTGAGACGCACATGCTAGCGCCGAACCACGGAAGCTCTACACCAGCGGTTCCAAAACTTGTTTGAGTGGCGACCCCATTTTTTAGAGGCAAAGAGGCCTGCGACCTTATACATTGCTCAGAGCGCATGTATCACTAAGCATCGACCAATCACAAGCCGAACAGCGGCCACATTCCGCAAACAAATCTCTGCTCAAGACGCCATGTACTAGTAAAGTAAAGATCCCTCTGAAGGCCAGTGGCGCATCAGGCTTATATGGCTAGACTAATATTATTTTTTATATAGATCTCAGTCGGTGACGTGGTCAGTATCACACCGGTTGCTTTTACTTCCCGTAATTTACCTGGTAACCATTTAAGGCTGGGTCGATCTGACGTAAAGCGACGACATGATTGTTTTGTATTCCCAATAAAAACTTGTCAAAGCCCACTACTGACTATAGATTGCACAATTTGTTGCCAGACATATTTCGCTGTAAATGAAACCTCAGTTGTTACTGTAGTATGCACCAAACGATATACAGCGGAATATGCCTGGCAATAAATTGTGCAATCCATTTTTTTTTTTTTTTTTTTTTGTCTTCTTTGTTCAAATTCACAAAGGTAAAACACTGCTTTGCAATAATAACGATCACACAACGTTCATACCACCAGCAGTTCTCCGTCGTACTTCTCTCTGATTATCTTCTGCAGATTAGTTTCTCTGTGGGGAAAAAAAAAACGTTATTTTCGTAACCCTTTGTTTATGACGTGTTCCTACTGGATACATCAGTTCACATACATACAATGGGGCATGTATGGCTATAAATAAATGTTTGTTT